TGTGCGCAGAAAAGTCGCTAATATCTAATTCTAAGGGATACAATCGCTACGATATTGTGTTTCGAAGCATATTCAATTTAAGTATAAACGTCATTAATCCTTAAGTTGCAATAAGATTCGTTAAAGATTCAAAAAATTCTTAGCCCTATTTTTAATCTTTATCATTCGATTTTTTAAATCAGTACTGTCCAATACTAGGGCGCGCGCGCGTGTGTGTAGTTGATTATTTTTATTTCTTAAATATTACTTTATCTACTATGTGATTCACAAAAGACTTTGTGTTTCTTTACGCATAATATGCCTTATATACTCTTTTATTTACAATACGTTCCCTGACTAAATCTAAATACAAAATCAAAGCAGAAAACATGTGAAACCATAAATCTTAAATTAAATCATTTTCTAAGTTACAGCTCCAATTTCACTAGTCTTGACTGCAAGTCTTGGATAGTACTGCTTCAAAAAATTGAATCCAATTCGTACTTGGTCGACGAGTATCGCAACTGCAGGCTTAAGGACGTCCCTAACGTGAGAGCTTACGAATCTGATACTACTGCTACCTACAAAGATAAAGATAAATATTTAAATGGATATCTCGTTATTATAGGAAGACCTACCCTCGTTTGCTGATGCTTTCCAGCTGCTTTTTGGTCAATCTCCTTGGTTCACCCTTGCTGTCTACGGCGACTGAGTCTAATTCGTCGAAGCTGGGCGCGACGAACAGATCCTTCAGGTGGTGTTTCTTTCTCGCAAGCGTGTCTTCGCCCTCCGTACAAGTGGACAGTGCCGGTGGAAGGATGATAGGGAATGTTCTCCAGTGATAGAGGAATTGTTGCGCAACTTCTTTGATGTTGTGCACCAGTGCCTCGACCTCGGCTGGCGCACCACGCAAATGAGACGTATCGAACTCCACCGGCTCTTTCTAATAAAGAGTAAATAGATTTCTTCGTAAAATATCAATTGTACATAATTTAATATCAATTAATATCAATTATATATACACTTTAAATAATTATCGTTATTTAACTATTTGCTTTTTGCAATAGACGGAATGAATATAAAATGTGATTAAAGTAAGTGAAACATCAAAATTGTTGAAAACAGGATTTTTGATGTTACGGTTATATTCTACAATTTTATTCATATAGAATAAAATAATGTTCCAGAAGTAACGAATAAATATGTGTAATTAACTGAAGCTAATATAGCAAATTAATATTTAAGGAAGTTTTCTCTATGTTATTTTGTGCCAATTTTTGCAACAAAGAATGTTACATACACATACATTTTCATTACAATTGGTTTCTTATTTTTATATATTGCATTATTCTGTTTGTCATCAGACGTACTTAGGTTCTTATTAATTTGGAGCACTCCTTGGATGGATATTATGCAATTATTAATTAACTGTATAGTCGTTAAAAACCATAACAGTATTCCTCATTGGATGTTTTTCTTTGGATGGACTTGCGTATTATAGTAATAAAATTCAAGGGCAATCTTAAAATCATGGCTTGTTTAAAAATGAAGCGCTTAGTCTCTTAACTATTACTTAATTCAGTTGGACAGCAAATAAAAACTGGTCCCCAATCGCATTGAGATACAATTCTAAAATGTTATAATCTAAATATGAACAATTTTTTGCAGTGTGCTACAGTGTTATTATTGTTAATACACTTTACATTGTGCGATATCGAATTTACATATTTTAATTAATATATCCGAATATTAAGATAGTATAACGTGTTTCTTCGTTATCACTGAAAATTCTTATTTCCATAATGTATCTCGTTACATTCAAATACAATAGGAGACAAGAATTACATATTCCATACTGTATGATTATAGCTGAGTACAAATATTACACTACTTTTATTATAAAATATAATAACATCAAGTTCATCGTTTAAATTAAACGAGTAACGAGATGCTTTTTCCGGGTTGATGTTCCTAAACTAAAACTATTTTTTCTGCTCCAGAAACATTATACTCTTTCCACGCGTAATGCGTATAACCATTAAGCGAGTAATTAACGTCAGATTAAATGTCCAATGTGGTTCTTGGTTCCTTCGTTGTGCAACAGAAATTTAATAGGCAAATACATACATCTAAAACATTATTTAAAGATAATTTAAAGATAATATAGTATTAAACGTAAATAGGATAGTACCTGGCATTTTTGGCAAATAAAGGATCTAAGTCTATTTTCTTCAAAGTATCATTTTCTGTTAAGTGGAATTAATGTACCTCGGGCTGAAGTCCATCTCCATTCTGTCGGTGACAAGGTTGTTGGTTGTAGGCCTGGTGATTCGGTGCCGTGTTGGCGGAGTTGACGGAAGCGGAATTCAAATTGTGGGGCATTTCGCGCGTAAAAAGCGTGCGCGGCGGTTGGGGTCAGCTACCCCGTATACCGACTATCTCCTCATACACCATGCTGCTGGTAGCAACCATTTATCATTCCACGCCCTGAAATATCAATTATAATTATATATGTATAATCAAAGATCCAAGATAAAGGTTATCTTAAGCATTTTTTGGCAAAAACTCATTGAGTAAAAATCAATTTTTATTTAAATAAAAACTGTGAATAAATGTGAAAGAAATTATCCAAAACACGATATGATTGAAAAATATTAGTTTTTAATTGTTCTGATTACGAATAACCATTACGAATGATTAAAATTTCCTTTTGGTTAGGAACGACCATTGTCAATGAAGGCATTTCAATTTTAGATACCAGTAACCAATATAAATGATTGCAATTTCTTTTGATAACCAGCAACTACTATCGATAGTGTGCATTTTGTTTTGGTTGCCGGTAACTATTATCGATGGCAACAAATGCTTTTGGTTACCGTCAATTAATATTGTCGACAACATTTTTTCTGGTTACATTTGACTATTGTCAGTTGTTATTAACATTACTGATAATCCGTATTCATTGATAACATGAAATATCTAAATGATGGAACTTATGCATCTTATAAAGCGAAGAAATTGCATGAAAATATATGAAACAAAGAATAGTATAAAAGATATTATAGTTTAGTTTATTAACACATGCATTAATAATGCACATTGTACTACAATATCTTTTAGATTACTCCTTGTTTCATATACCTTCATATCGTTTCTTTGCCTAATAAAATACATAATATCTACAATTAATTTTTTTATATCCTCAGTGAATAGGTATTAATTGTAAGTACTGTTAATAACAATTGACAATAGCCGATTGTAACGAGAGAAATTTTGTACCGCCAATAATAGTTATCGGTAACTAAAGTAAAGTGCGGGTCATCGATAATAATTACTAATAACCAAAAAAGTTATAATCGTTTATATTGGTTATTGGTAAACAGAATTAAATTTCCGTCATCAATAATGATTATTCCAAATTAAAATTCTTTAATTAAAGATATTAATCTCATTCGAACGAGACCTTATACTATAACTTTTAAAATTTGTTTTAATAACGATTACAATGCCTCTATATATCTTATAGCCAAGAGTATATATGAACGCTGGTACATGTAACAAATTGATTTTGGATGTAAGTATCGAGGAATAAGGTAGCGTGTTTGCTTTATTACATGTAGTAAAAATTGGTTTACTCTATTGTATTAACTTTACTGTAATAACGTTATCGTATTAATACGATTATTTTAGGTACATAAAATGACAAATATTGTATGTATGACATAAAATTAAAATAGCGATACTTCATTAAAAACTATTCACACACCTACGTTAAAGGAATTTTCTGTTTCTAAGACACCACAACGAAAAGACTAAAATTGACAGCGATATAACCTCCAATCTACAATGCGACATAATACCGTTCAGGAAAACAAAGAGGAAAAGAGAATCGAACTTTTTGGCACGTTATGTTGATATTGGTAACGTAGTAATATTGTGACACAGATCGTGAATGGAAGTGTATAGTATATAGAAGGATAGAGTTTTAGGTTATGTCGAAACGAGATTAACGTTAGGTATCACGCGAGCTGCTGTATAAGGCGATTAATTACAGTAAATCCTGCGAAGTACGCCATTTCTTTAGGAAATTGCAAGACAAGATAGAAATAGGCAGAGGCAAAGGAATGCGAAATTCCTTGAAGGAAATCGTTGTAACACGAATCGTGTGTATTCTGTGTAAAAGTAGATTTTACTCAATGCACATGCCGGGCAAAAGAGACGGGCAAAGAACTGGAATGCTCAGAATGTTAATCGTTTAATGGGATATAATCGGTTAATGGGAGTCTGCATTCAACCGAAGCCTTCCATACAAGCCGGATGATCGCGTTTCGACCCCTCGTGCGACTTCATTTTTCATCACGACAATAAAGATTAGCTTGTCGTTAAAGGTGAATTATTAAGACTATTATGAAGCAAGTTGGAAAGCGAGATATCGTTACATGTATACAATAGGCGAGTACGGTGGCTGTGAAGAATATCCGCACAACATTGTATTTATTATACCATTCGCACTAATTAATTAGTCCCAAGTATATATTTATATATTTTATGTAATTTCGGCTTTAGGGTCGGAAAATGGACTTGATTTTATAATATTTTTGAAAACTCGTATATACTTATATCTTTCTCATACTTTGTTTTTAGACATCGAGTTTATAAAACTGAGCTTATTCTTATATATAGGGTGCAACAGAACATATAATAGAAACAATAGAAAACGTTCCTATAGACATATCCGTTTTCGTCTACGAGATATAACGAACTTTTCTCTTGATTTCGTGTTATCCAATTACCTTTACAGAAGATACTGAAGAAGATGACCACCTTGCGTTTTAAGGCAAGCCTGTAGACGTCTTGTTATAAACCCGGTTACACTCTGAATGGTTCCTGATGTTTGCCGGATTTGTTGGGAAGCTTATTCAACATCTTCAATAGGTTTAGTGTTTATGAAAATTCGTTGTGTCTCATAAGCGAAGACAGATAGAGCATATATTTATATGAACGTTTTTCATTGCATATTAGTGACTACAATGCATGTATTTTATATACACATATAAATTATATAAATAAAGTACATTGTAGTTATTAATATCTTATCAGATTCTTGTTTATATCTTATCCTCCTTAATAACTTATCTTATCCTATAATATCGAATTCCATTAACATCTGTCGTTTTATCACCACAGTTTACCCTCTTATTTTTATAATCTTATTAGATTATCTCTGTATATATTCTCTGTTAGTTCTCCGTCGATTATCTCTGTATACATGTAATTATAATAAATGAATAAATATATATATGTATAGAAGTATATATAAGTATATATGTAAAATATTATGTATGTGAATATATAATGTTCGATTTACGATAACTTAATTTCTCATTCTCGGTTAACAGATTGATGATAGCTTTAAGCTGGCAGATTTCTCCATCATTTTTATGCAAATGCGACTCCTTTCAGAGTGCAGCTAACATTTAATCCGACCCCGTGTCGCATGCATGATAAATAAGCGCACGTTGTAGTTACAGGTCGTAATTATCGCGGAGTATCATTCTTTCGTGCCAAGAAGAGACCGACCTCGCCGCACTGTTCGGCTTTTCCTATCCTTACAAGGGACCCACACATTGTTCTAGACTGGCAGAATACCAACATCGTCTCGTGTTTCCCACTGGGACACAACGATACCTCATAGCTGGAAATAATACGCATCCACTGCTTCCTGTCGCTTTAAAACGATTTACTGTACCTTTTCACTTGGGTCTTGCCTATCTAGTCTACAGAACATGTTCGAAATAAGTACGTACACTCCTGTTTGTAAACAAAATAGAGCCCCACTCGTTCGAACACCTATTAGCCTAAGAACTGAATCGAAATTTTGAATTAATTAAGAACAGATACGATAGAGAAATCAATATCAATTATGAAAAGTGACTTCCTTTATTTCGATAGACTTTTGACGAAAGACTCTTCTAAGGTAAATACGTAGCAGTTTGTTTAAACAGAGTTTTTCATCTACTGCATTGTGCTGAAATTCCTCTGCACCATTTCAATTTGTAATTCTTATTAAAAGAATTAAAAAGCAATATTAATGGTACACAGGTTTCCAAGTATCTTTTAATTGTTACTGAAAATCGCAACGCCTGTAATACGTAATTTAAGGATTATGGCATCTCGTTTGTTCGCGACTCATCCTCATTAATCTTCACGCCTCTTTTCCCATGGCTGCCATTATTCCTGGCATTAGGAGCACGTTGTTAATCGCGATATTGTATCATTCCCTCGTTAATTGCGTTAATTGACTCTGGTCCGCCTGGAGTGTACTATTATTTTATTGAATTCCAGCGTCAAAGACTGTGATCTGATATGATTAGTAATGGATTCTCTATTAATCAGATTCAAATGGCTGTTGAAATTCAATCGAGAGAAAGAGTGAGAAAGGAAACCGATATGATAAAAACAAATGAAAATTTCTCTTAGAAACTCGTTGGAAAATAATTAACGACTCTCGATCTTCTGTACGTTCCAGTCTAATTAAAACATCCCAGCGCAAACAAATATCCTAATATGTTCTTCTTTTCTACTTTTGAGATCTTAGGGCGATTGTCATATAGACAAATTTAAATAATAAAAAGCAGCAGGCAAATTGTGAAAGCAAACGCCGAAGTGGATGTGAAAAGATTGCGCTGCTTCGTACAAAGCGTGCAACGAGAATTAAAGTAATTTGTCTAGAACACCAAGATAGCACAGTATCATTTAGGGCAATGTGATATTAATTACTAGCAATAAGGATAGTAATAAGACTCAGAGGGATAGTACAAATTAAGACTACGTACAAGAAAGATTGTTACTTATACAGAGTGTGCCAAACTTAACTCTCCACCTACAACATTATTTTTGCTGACGTTGTCTAGCAGTTGATCTTTGTATGTCCTTTACGTATTCACCTACGAAATAGCTAATATGTAGTACCAAATCTTGGTCTCTTTGGCGTCATTTAACTCTTCTTACTATAATAGAAAGGTTTCTTCATAGAGCGAGTAATTTTGTAATATTTAGAAATCATGAAGTTAGTCAGCTTCGCCCTACTTAGAGTCGGTTACTTCACTTGCTAGGAAATAATTTCCTGTTTCCTCGTTAATGCCACGCTATTTTCCTTCTATATATTCGCCTGTGAAATATGAACACATAGTAAGTAGTATCGATGCAAGGGCCAATGGTACTGTAACATCATTTTCCAAGAGAACGGTTTATTTCCTTTTTCAAAGTTGATGCCCGCGATGTTAATACGACAGAGTAAAAAAACTGACCTTTTGGCTTTGATTTTCAGGTTCAAGGACAACGTTGCGCGAGCCTTTCGGCTGAAATCTCCGTCAAACCGAAGGTGGTAGAGTCTTAGACTTTTATCGACAATATTTACATACCCTGTACATTAGAAAAACGACTTTGTAGACCTTGGTATTTTCGCGGCGATCAACTTCAACGCTTCGATAACGGAACAGAAAAGAAGAAAAGAAGGAATTAAAAATAATTGAAAGAAAGGAAGAAGAAGGAGGAAGGCAAAGGTAAAAGAAAAAGAAAAATCGTCCATCGCAATGGCTGCGACGTGTTAATTATCCAAATGCTTCTAGTTCACGGTTCGAGTGATCGACGAGTTTCACCGTTCCGCTTTGTGTTCCCATCCACTTCCGGGCTTTCAGAGGACGGGGAAAACAGAGCAGGAAGATCTGTCTTCGTATCAAGATTTAAAATTCCGTCTGGCGCTTTACAAGGAGACAGTCAATACGAAGGTATTACAGGGAACAGAGGCAGATATAGGAAAAAGAATAATGGAGTATGCACAGGGGATCTACCAGTAGTTTTCTATTTCTTTCCTCGTTGAAACGTTCCTCCTACAGTATCGTCGAGGAACGGTATCGATTCTAACTACTCTTCGCTGATCCATCGAGCCTTTACAGAAGTAAATCTTATTTTAAATAGGATAGATAGCTAGGTACATGGTAATTACGAAGGAAGAGTTAAATAACGTGATGTAACAGAATAAAATAGTAACGTAATACGAGCAGTTGATGTTAAAACAGGTGTTTAGAGCGTTCTTTTTTTGGAATTTATTATAGTTTAATGTTTCTTTTATTGAGAATATTTTTCCTTTTTATAAAGGATTTTATAAGATCTTGAAGATCTTATAATCTATAATCTTATATTATTATATAATCTATAATAATATAAATCTTATAATCTTTATAAGAAGATTTTTAAAGAAAATTTTATAAAGACGTTTTCGTTTTCAGTAAGTTTCTGGAAACGATTTACGATCACCGACAATGGTTTGTCTGAGGTCGGACGCTCGAATAAGCTACTTTAAGTAGAATGTTACCGCACGGTCGTACAAACCTATTTTATTTCTGTGCCACAACACCGACTGTATCCTAGACAAGTTTGCTTTGTGAAATTGCTTTTCAAAATCTTATATGTACTTAGTGAAGAGAGGATTTTATACCATTTTATTACCTTAGTAACTTATTACATGCAAATTGATTTGGATTAGAACAATTATGTTGGTGTACGTGGTAACAGAGGCGATGCAAAAGAACATTTCCGACTCTGCTCGAATGCGTTCCAAGTAGGTTGGCAAGTATACCGGGGCACGCTGGCTTTTGACCCACTTTGAGCTTCGCAAGCTCTCCTAACCTTAAAACAAGCACTGCTATTCCAGTCTATACCGCTTCTAATACATTACATGTTACTTGACTGCAGTTTTAGCATGCTGCATGCGAGGCCTATCAAATTACTAAGGAGGAAGTTTTAATTCTCTTCGATCATCGTTTTCGATAGAACTAACTTTTCGATTGAATAACGAGGTTCTTTCGGCCTGTAATAGTCCAAAGGCTGCTGAAACAAGGCCTCTAAATCGATCATGATTCCAATAAATCATAGATCTTTGGATTTGAAACCTTAGGCGAAGAAGATACAGCTAGGTTACAGGTTAGGTTATGAATTGATAACTGCAATTGTATAAACTATAGTCTAATAACTGTGCACATATGCATACGTACATACGTACATATATGTATATATACAGGGTGTTCCATCTATCTTTTCCAGCCTTACTTACTTTCCTATTTGTGACGATACAGAAAATGTTTGAGACAAAAATTGTACGATATAGAAGGTGACATATTGTGCTTTTACCTTATATTTTTAAATGAACCTAACCCCCATATTTTTGTTACATATTCTTGTAGCTGACATTTAGACGTCTTCGAAATGCTATAAACTCGTGCCTTTTGAAGTGTCCGTAATCGAGATATGAACTTTAAAATCCGATATACCGCTGGCATTAGAATTACCCGATGTACACCACGACGCGACACATAAAGATGTTCTTCACAATGCTACTATGAAACTTCTGGCGTGTCCAAAATAGTCGATCGCTTCCAAGTAGTCACTTTTAGGCAATTATACCTTGTATTGCTCTGTCGAATTTGAGAGTTTACATCTCGGCAGCGAATGCAGCAAAGGGCACGAGTTTGCAGTGTTTTGAAAACTAAAACAGTATGTAACGAGAAATGGAGGCATCCGTTTTAAAAATCTTAATGTCAGCTTTGCTGGACGTTTCAAGGTCGTCGCAAGGTGAAATGCATGAAAGCACGGTACCTCATCCCCGACATCATACAGTGCTCTTCTGACACATTTTTTTGTTTCAAATAAGGGTAATTAAGGGTGACAGGGTAAGATTAGGTGTATACAGGGTGGTTGGTAACTAGTGGTACAAGCGGAAAGAGGGTGATTCTACGCGAAAAAAGAAGTCGAAAATATAGAATAAAAATTTTTTTTTAATTTTTCCATCGGGACAACGATCTACAGTGAGATCCGTTATAACGAGACGCGACAAAGAGCATGCGTACCGAGCGAAAATTCAAAGTCGATTTTCTCGAAAACAAAGCTTCAAACGAAAAATTTTTATTCTATATTTTCGACTTCTTTTTT